GATAGAATAATAATAAAAAGATATCATCTTTGAAAAAATTAGATGACTTGCATGTTAATCGCGAATTTCATTCTCGAAAATAAATATATCGATCGTTGAAAAAATATAGGTCCTCTTACACATAGATAAAATCAGATCAATAAAACAGATGATACAAAAAATGTTTATTACACCAAGTTCCTTCAGAACATAACTTGCATTTAGTGAAAAACAAATTGTTTAAATATAATTAGTTTAATGTTACAAAACAACAGGAATATACTATTCTTTCAGTGAAATTTAATTTGTTTCTGTTTTTTCATCTGATGTTTTCATCTTTCTGCTGTATATACGATTGATATGTATGAGCTAGTTTTAATAGGGCATAAGCAACTGTGTGAAGAAAAAAGATAAGAATAACTATGATATTGGTATAAATCATCAAATGTGGGTGTCATATTTGAACGATATTATGTCTCATGAACATGCATAGACAGAAAAGATGAATATAAGAAAGAAAATAAAATAAAACAATGATTAAGAGGTTTTTCTTGTTGTTTTCTAAAGGAATGTGGTTATTTATGAAGTTTTTTAGCTTTCATTTTGATATTGATTTTCTTTGACACCTAACATAGTAGATATTTTTTACAAATTTATTATCCTGCTATATTTTATTCATTGATTATAAGACTAAAGAATATTTTAAATAATTCATAGATTTCTTTCCGAAAATAATACTCTCAAACATCAGACAAGTCACTCAAATTTTATTCTCTAGGGAACATATCAATATATTAGAGATCTTTTATATGGTATTAATATTCTAAAAATATATCATTAGTAACAGTTAGTGAAGTGAATATTTGATTAAATTTTCACCGATGTATTTTCTATTCTCAACAGCATATTTTGAAAAAAAGATTTTTCAACGAGAATGGTAAAAGTTTCTTATTCTCTCTTTTCTTTTCTTCAATCACTAAGGACTGTTTTCTTCGTTTAGAAACAACGTTTTTAATGCTTATTTTTTCTATCTAAACTATGTTATGTTACATATATATGGAAAGATATAATTGTTCAAATATAATGATACTGTAGCTTGGACACGTATACAATCTAAAATCTTTTAGGAGTACTTCTTAAAAAAATTCCGTAAAAAAGGAAAAGAAACTTAAAATATTGAAAAATAAATAGTCGTAAATAGAAAATGAAACATAATTCAAGAATCAGATGCGTAAAGCAATATCTATGGCATTATAATGAATCGAGCTTTATCTGTTTTCCTTGGAAAATCGATTTACATTTATGTCAATTGCACTGTTGGAGGCAAGATTTTAAGATTTTTCGTAAATTATTTACAATCAATATTGCTTTTTATTTCTATCGATTATCCGTGCTCTTGTTGGATGAGATAGAACATAATCATGTGCATGATTAAATATGTAGCTGTTCATATCTAAGACAGAGATGATGGCTTTTTTCGAACATCAACGAAGAGGGCGTAGGTGTGGGTGTGGATGTAGCTGTTGCTGTTGTCTTGAAATACAAACACACCCACAACCATACCGTTTTTGTCACATGAAGGGACAAACAGTATCAATAACTACTCATTTCCGATAAAGTTAGAAACATATCCATTAATTAAAAAATGTTTAATAATAACAAATGACACTTGTTTGAACATATCATGTGATTTTATTTATATTTAACGAGAAAAGAACACGATGTAAGAGGGAAAAAGAGAAGAATACTTACGTAAGTAGGCCAATAACGCGACATAGGTTAGATTCCTGTGTGGAATGTTTCTTTTTTTATATTCTTCTTTATTTCTTTTTTGCGTCGATTTTTCTTAAATCTTTTTGTTTTGTTTATGGCGAGAAGCATTCTTTTGAAATCTCAAAGAAAGGGAAATAATTGACTACGGTAATTAGGAATATGCTATTCTTATTCACATAGAGGTCAACCATCGTAGCTCTATCTCAGGTGACAGGAATCGAACGAACCCACGTGAAAAATTCTTCTTTTGTGTGGAGATTTAGCCTTATAATATGATCAGACATCGTTTGAATTGCTATGAGATCTGGTTTTAATCTTTACAGAAAAGAAAAATTAGAATTTAATACAAATCCTAAATGTTAGATATTATTCATACTAAACTTCTTTTTGCTTATGTGAGTTTACAAATCCCAACAGAAGTTTCTTGATTGAAATTTTCCGGGTCCGTCATCAGGTCGAAGATGTAAATGACTACATAGTTATCAATACTAAATAATAACATGTTTTTAAAATGACATTAGTAGCTGAATGAAAGAGAAATACTCATAAGAGGTTGATTATGTACATCTATAAAAATTTTCTATTTTTTTTTCAAACATTTTTCACAAGAGAATTACGTTGATATAGTACAAACGCTCTATTTTGATCTTGTCAATACTCATAAGATGTAGATTTTTTCTGAGTCCGCATAAAAACAATTCACACTCCTTATTTATCTGACGGATATTCCTAATAAAATGCTTCGCTTTATTATTTTTTCTATACACATCATGGCATTGTCAATAGCACTCAAGCTGAAAGATTCTATAGTCTTGCTCAGGAATATTTTCATTATTTTCTTTATTTCTCTTAGAAGCCTTTTGTAGTTTTAGTCGACTATTTGATAAAAATAAGTCATCAACAAAAGTAATACACATATTCTGATTGACAGTTTTTACAGATATCGAACTTCGAACAAATATTAATATTAATATAAGACACTCACTAAATACTCGATTTAATGAAAAATTTACTGTATATATTTTGAACAAGTTTGTTTCTTTTTATCAGTTTGTATTCCAAGAAGTTTCATAGACATAAGTTTTAAATCTTTGAATCGCACTGAAAAAAATTAAAATCAATAGTTGAGAAGTAGCATTCGATGGAATTAATTTAACTGCTTTAAGAGAACTTAAATTTCTTCAAGAAGTTAAACATCCACATGTTACCGAATTACTCGAGACATTTGAAGAATATGTTTCAAATAGTCCAAGAATTTGTTTAGTATTTGAATTTATGAATACTAATCTTGAAAATATTATTAATAATAATTTGCATAATAATTGGATACTTCATCGAGATTTGAAATCAAACAATTTATTAATTGATAAAGGTGATGTTTTAAAAATAGCCGATTTTGGTTTAGCAAACTTTTTCGGTTCATCATCAAGATTAATGTCACATGACGTTATTACAAGATAGCATCGATCACCTGAATTACTTTTGGGTACAATAAAATATGGTACTGCTGTCGAGATATGGACAGCCGGTTTTATTATTGCTGAATTACTACTTTGAGTATCATTATTACCCGGTGGTTCTGATCTTGATCAATTATTGAAAATATTTCAAGTGTTTGAAACACCAACCGATAGTAATTGATCGGATTTCAAAACATTTTCAAATAATATTGACTTTGAACAAATGGCATCTAAGCCGTTACGAACAATATTTACAACATCAAAATCAGATGAACTTGATGTATTAGAAAGAGTAATGCAATTCGATCCAAAACGACGACCAAATGCAAACGAAACTCTTCAACTGAAATATTTTAGTAATCCGCCTGCTCCGTGTCCAAGTAACCGTTTGTCTAAACCAAAAGAAAATCAACCAACTGAAAATAATAAATGTAAATTAGGAAATGATGCAAAAGTGATTGTAAAAAAACGAATGCCCACAGATATTCAATCATACGATTGTTTTTCCATTGCAATATGAATATTATTTTATAAATAAAATGTGACTATTATAAAAGAAAAAAGTCTGATCAAATACAAGTTCCGATGACGAAAACGTGCGAGTTGATGGCAACATCGACCTGTCAGAGCAACATATTTTGAGTTAAAAACAATATAAAAAAGGATGGAAACATGAATTTTGATGCGTATATACAAAGACAAAAATTACTTTGCAGCACCTATATGAATGAGTTGTTTCTTAAATTTTTTGGAGCTATATTGAAAGCATCCTAAATATTTTGTTTCACAGCTTGAGCAACACGTCAACACAAGTTTTATAGAAACGATTGCCGCGTTTAGTGCTAGTATTAATATCACGTACATTTGTAGAATGAAAATTGGCAGAGTATGTTTTGCATTGGTATATAAAACTCCATCCTAATAGAGAATATTCCAACAAATTGATTTGTTATTTTTTTGAATAATTTTTTAGCTCTGTTGCAATCTACACTTTTCTTGAGTTCTTTTTTGAAATAGGTGGAGCTCAGAAAAATTTACAAGACAGAAACATTAAGCGTTTGAAAATCATTTGACAATAAGTTGAATTGTGCTGTAAAGATAGAATGGCATGATTCATTATAGAAAAGCATTGTTGTTATAATACTGTGCTTCTCATGTAAAAAGCAAAATTTACACATATTTATCTAGTTATAGAAACATTCTATCTAGAAGATTCAATTCATTGTTAAGAAAACAAACTCAAATAATGAAATAGGAAAATTGTTCAGATCCACACTATATGTAATAAATATGATACATTGTTCTAATTTGGATATTTTGATACTAATAGGAATTCAGTAATGAATCAAGCGAATTTATATATTGGTCTAAGATTTGAATATTCAGAAATATTATCAGAAAATTTCATCTGATAATACTATTTCTTAATTGAACTATTCACTTTTTCAAATAAAAGATCGATCAATAACAAAAAAGGAGAAGATTTAAAAAACTAAATAGATATCAGTGTGGATGTCATATTACAGAAGTAAATAACTTTTTTGTTTTTTGGTGACACAATTATTTTTATACACTGATGCAGAAGTATTTTGATTGCGAAATTTCTACTTTTTTGTTGCGGAAAGGTATGTGAAATGTGTTAAGACGAACTCTATATAAACGTTTGAGTTTCAGAAAACTTAGTCAAGAGTCTTTCATCAATCACTTTATAAACATTTAAATCACATAGGACTCTGTCATATGTTGTCAGAAATTCTATTTCACACCAGTTGTGCAAGTACTTATGACAGAAAGCTATAACAATATTGATGAATCAGCTCATAAAGAATAAATCCAAAGCTGTTCCTATATTGATCATTCAATGAATAACTTTTAAAACTATTTGCAAACACAAAAAAGGAAATATCTTGATTCCAGAAAATCAATGGAACAAGAAAAAGTTTATTCATATTGTGTCCAATGTCACTATACCTTGAACTTTGTCTACTTTGATAAAATTTTGAAATATATGAACGCGAAAATATTTTTGTGGCTTTTTTAGGCTAAGACCAAAGTATTATATCTGTTCTTGTTAGTTTGAAAGTCGGCGCGGACTGAAAAAAGTCAAGCTCTTTTGATCGGATTTTCAGCACATGGCAGAGATTACCCGAGTTCACTCTCGTTTCCTTCTGGAAACAGGAATCATCTATCATTATAAACTTATATGAAATAACCTACTCATTTTCATGTGATATAAGAAGAAGTGGAATTTATTATTATTATACCGATACAATAATTCGGATTTTATTACTTATGAGTTAGTTATAATGATGGCACTGATTGAGATTCTGAGGCAATCAAACAAAGGTTTTCAAAAAGAAAAAAACAACGTGACAATAAGAATCAATGTCAGATTACTATGTTATATATGAACAATAATAATTTCATCATAGTTTTTTTTATTGAATACTGCATACATTTCAACAATATTTTATTTCATTTCTAGGACACAGTTTTTGAATATTTGATGAAATTTTGGATGTAGTTATTTTATTGCAGGAATATGAATATATTAAATGAGTGATGAAAGTATTTGAAAAAAAAAACGTTTTTTTTTCTAAAGTATTTATTTATATCAGTAAGAAGTTACTTCATGTTTAAATAGTGGCATAGTCAATAGGATATGATTCAAAGTTATTCTTGGTGTACTTTCGATTGGATCTTTCCATATAATACACTATTTCACTTTTTCTTTCTTCTGATATTACTATATATATATTGTATATTATCAAAACAGCAACGAAAAAGACGATAAATTTTATCAAACAAAAAAAAAATGACTTAAACTGGCGAAAATAGAGGAAGAACTCTATACTGACTCTGCAAAAGTAACACAATCATTATCTGTTTCTATGTAACAGCAACTAAAATGTATATACGAGAACAATTATTTGTTGTTTATAATATCATCAACAGAAAGCAACAAAAAAAAAATTAGAATTTTTGTATTTTCTTTGTGTTTGATACATCCTTATTATTTGAACTCCTCGCTAGGTCATCCAGTTCATCTTCTTCATACGACTATTCCTATTCTAGTTGTCATTTCTAAGAGAATTTCTTAGAAGTAATTCTAGCATTCCAAACTGCACTTAATTCTCATATCAACTGTGATAATTATTATTATTTTCAATGTTAATTACAGTCTACTTTAAACAAGAAATTTGGATGATTCGCAGATGCTATCTGTTCAAATCTAGTCTACCTTAGCAAGTTTTGAATAAAAAGAAGTATTACTTGTAGCTTTATGCTTAATCAACTCGTTGACAGCAACGTCCCTAAAATTGCTTTTTCAATGTTTGAATCAAAGATGAATCTGAAATCTAGTGAAATAGGTCTTTACAAAATTAGTTGTATTTTAAATACTTGTCTCTTGAAACAGCATTACATCACTAAATAAAATATAATACCTTTTCTTCACTATACTAAGGTTGAGCAACTATGCAAAGACAATATGTATAACATTTTTCTACTAAAGTTCAAGTATTTATTCTACAGATAACACGTATGTATATCACTAAAAGAAAAATAAATGCATTTGTGAATGTTAAGTTAAAAATAACAAATTAATCGCTATCCATTCATATCATTCAAGTAGTACTTTTTGAAAGTTTTTAGAATGCTTCTTCTCTTAGGAATTGATAATAAAGAAAATAAGATCAGAGAATGAGCTTAATAATAATAAACAAAGACAAACAATTGCTATAAATGGGAGAAGTTAGGTAAACAAAAACTATCCATTTGTGTACAGTCCATCGTCATTATAGCTTGAGAGTTCTGTATATTTTGGTAACATGTGGAAATATATGAATATGGGAATGTTGAAAAACAGAGAATATTGTTTTTGAATGTATTCAAATGCTTTACGGTTTTTAAGGTTAATGTCATAGTGTAGTATCAGTTCTCTTCGATTTGAAAGCCAGTGTTGACTAAAAAAGACAGACTCTTGCGAACGGATTTTTGGCACATGACGAAGATCATCTAAGTTCACACAGATCTATATCACGGATCGACTCGACACTAGAGTGTCATCGAGTTGTGTTCATTATTATTTCTTTCGAGAAACGAGAGTTGTAAAATCATTCCGAAAACAAATGAAAAATTTTTTACATTTCATAATAAAACTCATAAGATTAAGAACCTATAATTTTATATCAGTGAATAAGAAACTAATTATCTAGATCACAAATATGTATAGTCATCGATTGATTTAAATAATACTTTCACATTTTGTATCAAAATAGTTTACAGATTAGTTTTAATTAAAGATCTATCTTTCAAGTAAATCAAACAGATGAAAAATAAAGCCACAACTCTTTTCTCATGTGAAAGTTGGACAGAACTCAGGTTTGAACTAGTTGATTCTTTTCTAATCCGACCTCGTTCCAGAAACGGGCATCGATGTTATTTTCACTTCATAAATTCTTTGAATATTTTTCCTTTCATATGCATGACACGAAAATGATAGATTTGTGAAGTATAAAGGGACACAAATCCAAGAAATATTCATTTTATCATCAATGAACTCTTGCCATTCTCAAATTTATTCATGTCACAAGAATAATTGTCAAAATCTTAACATGATTTCCAAATCGTTCTTCATATTATGTACATCGGTGCCATATTCTTCGGATTCCTTCTAGTACATAACCAAAAAATATCATTTAATAAATATATCAAACATTTTAGAAAAAAATCTCTGTTCTTTTGCCTTTGAATAAAAACTGCTAAAGACCAATTTATAATTTATTATGATGCTTGTTTAATACAGTTCAATCAGTCTCATCATGGTCTACAAGGACTAGTATTATCTAATTTAAAAATTCTAGCCACTTGTTTTTCGTCATCAAACATTATTTTCGTTTGTTTAGATGGATTGTTGATGAGATCTCTCAATATGTTTACTTTATACGGGGATTTAAATTAATTACTTTAGAAATGAATGAAAAATGTTTATGAAAGTAAAATGAAGCTAAGGCATTTGATTCTGTTTTGCTTATTCAAGTTTATTCTCCTTTCCTATCATTTGTTATCAAACTGCCTATTTATAGTAGATCTGTTATAACTAATCTTCTCTATAGATGTGTTGTCAATGTGTCATTCATTCCGACTATGTTGTCTTTTGACAAAGTCTAAACATGTACAGTGTGCCACATCAATTTGGAAGTTAAAACTAGTCGAGTAATAAGTTAAGTTTTAATTTTTTTTATTGTTTCATTTAGTCGGCGACAAAAGTCTTGTCCGTCTTGAAATGAATTTTTTATTTGACTTTTGATGTATGAGAATAGAATGCAACACATATATATATATACAGAGGAGTTCGAGACATTTATGCAGCACATAGCAGTTTTATAAGTCTTTGCTACTTCTTTGAGCGAAGTAAAAGTATGTGAATACATCCATTTCTGGATGACTTGTTTAGAGATGAGATGGACTGTATGAAATGAGTCGATCGACCTTTTAAACTGACGGATTTCTAGTGAA